AGCTAATATACAAAATTGTTATTTTAAAAATCCGATTAGCAAAGCTAAAACATACTCTTTTTTATATTTTATGCATGATTAATACCTATATTAGTATTTTAAAGTTAAATATTGCTTATAAGAGTTTTGCAATAAAATATTAATCGATTTTTGTCGTTACTTTAGTTATTCATGTACCATATTAAATTAAATTGAGGTAAAAAAATATTTTTAAGCACGTTTTAGATATATTACAATAGAGCAGATAATAATTTTAAAAGGTATAGTTCAATTTTAGTGAAATTATTTGTATTGAAATGTACAAATTATTTTAGGTCTAATACAACTGAACAATGAAGTTTAATTTTATTTTAAATAAATCAGCAAATATACTTAGCTCGAATATGCTAAATGCATTGTGTAAGATGTCGCAGTCAAATAATAGATGATGATGATCGTTCAAACAGACATGTAATGAGACCATGGGGTCATGGTTGGTATTGTAGTGATTGCATTCGGGAAAAATCGTGTTCATTGTGTTGTATCGGTACTACAGATACATTATGTATAAATTTGAAAAAACTATGTATAAATCTATTAATGTTATTTCATTAATTGATATTACTTTGATTCCATTAAAATTCATTTTATTCCTTAAATATGCAAGTTCCTTATTAGTACAAAATTAAATTTTTAAATAATGCTATTATTACAATTACTTCCGATCATTCACCCAGAGATTAAACAATACCTCTTTTTACTATTATTATCAAGCTATTTAATAATATAATAAGTTATACATTCATTTCAACTAGGCGAGCGTTCCTATACTTAAACAATGTTTCATAAAAACAAATTTTATATATGTATATATATATATAATGATTCTATATATGTACAAAAATTATTTTAATCCGATCATACCTATTAATTGTTATCCTCGACTCGTGTTTGACTCAAAGACGCTATCAAATGTTTGATAGGTCGCTAAAATACGATATTCCCAATTTACTCCTAATGGTCATTGGAAATCGTATCATACTCATTAATTCTTAATAGCGTGAAACAAAACCGTTATTTCAAAATCGCAATATTATACAGTCGAACAATCTATATTTTCGATCACCTATATTTTTTGTCATAAAACGAGAAGAATTATAACAGGAAAAAAACACAGGCCGCACTTAATTTACGCTGTGTAACCGATCACAGCAAATAGAATTAACAACTGGTTTTTGGCAAGCACCGTCACTATTCGACGCCACAACAGATTGGTGGTGGAAGCGGCTGATAAGAACCAATATTCTCCACCACGTCCTGTCACTTGGCTCGAACAGCTTTCAATACTAATCATTATGAAAACATGATTAAGTTACTAAGACATTTATTGCTACTGGATGATACACTATTAATGTATTATATTGTCTGTTCATAATGTTACAGTTTTACTAATTTAATATATTATATTAATATGCGTAAGTAAGACGCGGGTAATAGTGTTTTTATAACTAATCATTTCTGGGTCGTAATCTCACACAAGTCGATTGCCTATTATATTTCGCTGTGTCCTTTAATAAAAGCCAAATATTTGGTTTTATAGAGCTACAAAAATACTTTTTATATAATTGAATTTTATTTATCAGCTTGATTCTGTCATTATTGTTTTTATTCAATATATTAGTATATTTCAATTTTAGCGTAATTATTTGTATTGAAATAATAATGACAAATGATTTTAGGTCTGCTACAACTGAATAATGAAGATAAATTTCATTTTAGATAGGTCGACAAATATTTTTTAGACATTCGATTTTTTTTTGATTATATAAACCATGTTCTTGAATTTATTCTATTTATTGTTTCCCTGTAAATTACTGTAACAGATTTAATAAAAATTATCAATTATTTTCCTTACAAAAGGCAAAATTATTATAAATAAAATGATTTAATAATTATAAAAATTTACATATTATCTAATTAATATGCTTGCCATTGTGACATTATAAATAATGAAAAGACTTAATACTTAAATTGTATATTAATATTTCATTCATGATTAATGTGGACTCATTTTAAAAAATATTTTTGACCGAGATTTTTTCAAACAAATAATACTATTTTATTATTTGTAATGCTTTCCTAAAACATAAATTATATGAATAATGATTTGAAATCTAAATTTAATTTACTAAAAGAATTTAATGTAAATTCTTAAATAAATACATGCACGTTTGCGTCAATGCATAAATTGTGTTATTTATTATTTTCACGCATTAAGAAAAGACAAGGGCAAGTTGCCATCCTTAAGCTATAATTAAATCTCTTAAAGAAAATATTCGCCATAAAATTTTGTTAGAAAACTTCTTGATATATTTAAAATAATTGATAAAATGTTCATTATTTAAAACTGATTATTAATTCATTTAATAAAGTCATTTAATAAAGAAATTTATTTCAGGACTTAAGTAGAGGGATCATAAAAAGCCACCATACTCTGGGTAGAGACACGAGTTGACTCTAACCATCTATATGGTTTTTAAAAAGAAGACATAATTATTAGGGTGTCCCTTATTTTGAAAATTTGAAAATCATTGATTATATATCACAAGACAGGTTCAAAATGAAATGACAGTAATTTGAATCACTGTCAGCTTCGTGTTGAAACCGACATTGTTCTGGAAATCAATATTATAAAAATATTCAAATTTTTATATAATTATGACTTTTAAAAATGTGAAATTATTAATCCAAGTTTAAAACAAGTTTTCTCAGACTGCCTAATTAATAAATACATTTTTAGTATACCATTAAATAATATAAACATTTTTTTTTTGACGGAATTCATTTTAAAAGGCAAAATTATTATAAATAAAATATAATAAATAAAAGGATTTAATAGCTATAACAATTTACATATTAACTAATTAATTAATATGTTTGCCAATATTACATTATAAATAATGAAAAAAATTAATACTTAAACTTCTTTTCTATATTTAATGTATTTTTAATATGGAATCGTTCTAAAAAATATTTTTGACAAAGGTTATTTAAAACAATTATAATTATTACTTGTAAAGCAAAAACATAAATTATATGAATAATAGTTTGAAATCTAAATTTACTATACTAATCGAATTTAATGTAAATTCTTAAATAAATACATGTGAGTTTGCGTCAATGCATAAATTGTGTTATTTATTATTTGCACACATTCAGAGGAGACAAGGGCAAGTTGTCATCCTTAAGCTATAATTAAATCTCTTAAAGAAAATATTCGCCATAAAATTTTGTTAGAAAACTTCTTGATATATTTAAAATAATTGATAAAATGTTCATTATTTAAAACTGATTATTAATTCATTTAATAAAGTCATTTAATAAAGAAATTTATTTCAGGACTTAAGTAGAGGGATCATAAAAAGCCATCATACTCTGGGTAGAGACACGAGTTGACTCTAACCATCTATATGGTTTTTAAAAAGAAGACATGATTATTAGGGTGTCCCTTATTTTGAAAATTTGAAAATCATTGATTATATATCACAAGACAGGTTCAAAATGAAATGACAGTAATTTGAATCACTGTCAGCTTCGTGTTGAATCCGACATTGTTCTGGAAATCAATATTATAAAAATATTCCAATTTTTATATAATTATGACTTTTAAAAATGTGAAATTATTAATCCAAGTTTAAAACAAGTTTTCTCAGACTGCCTAATTAATAAATACATTTTTAGTATACCATTAAATAATATAAACATTTTTTTTTTGACGGAATTCATTTTAAAAGGCAAAATTATTATAAATAAAATATAATAAATAAAAGGATTTAATAGCTATAACAATTTACATATTAACTAATTAATTAATATGTTTGCCAATATTACATTATAAATAATGAAAAAAATTAATACTTAAACTTCTTTTCTATATTTAATGTATTTTTAATATGGAATCGTTCTAAAAAATATTTTTGACAAAGGTTATTTAAAACNTTCTACTCTACAAAATAGCTATCTTAGATTTTTTTTTTACATTTTATTTAAAATTTAAAAATAATTAATATTTTTAATAAAATGTAAAAAAATTAATTATTGAGATATAGCTATAGACCTAACGTCTAACTATTATTTAAAAAAAAAAATCAACTAAAAATATTAACTGGATCAAAAGTTATTTAAGTTGTCAGTGAGTGGTGGGCCACCCTGTATATGACCAATTGGTAAAATGCTCAATATTTAAAACTGACTATTAATTAATTAAAAAATGTCAATTTATAATATTTTTTTAACGGAAATGATAAAATTCTACTACTTTAATTTAAGTATTGCTAAAAAGATAACTAAATATGTATTACATAATTAAAAGGAAGTCATCTCTTACTAAACTTAAAATAGCATTGAGTATATTATAAAAATTTGTTATTGTTTTCATAAAAAATTCTAATTCAACTATTTTCAATAAAAGTTAAAAATATTACTATTTTTTTTTTAAACAAAATAGGTCATTATGCTTTAAATTGCGCCTTATTTTCTCTGATTAAAATATAATTTTATATATTTATCAATGTCGAACCGATATAATTTATATAATATACAAACAGTTTTTTATATGTCAAAATATAGTTTATAAAATTACTGTTTTAAAATAAATATATAAAATTGTATACTTTTTTATGATTTACGAATTTTCATTGAAATAGTTAATCTAGCAAAATATTTCAAATTTTAAATTAGATTGGAATAAATTTAAAACAGTTATGTCAAATTAAACTGTTCAAAATATGTACATAAGTAAAATAGTATTTTATTTTAAATATAATAATCATTTACTTTACCCACCAATCATTTCATTAAAGAATATTGGTATTTTAACAGATATAAATAATTAATAAATTATATTTTAAATTACAATTGTTCATATATTATTTAAAGTACATAATAAAAGTTTATTTTTGATCTGGTATTTTAAATACACTTGTATTTTTTCTATATTTTTTAGTCAGTATATTTTTTATTTCAAAACTCTTTTATTTTAATTGATAAAATATTGTGAAATTTAAAAATTGTTAAATATTCTCTTAAAATAATATTATGTTACTCAATAAATGGAAATTAATTATAATTTTTATTCAAACAATCAACCAATCGATTTGTGTTGATCTAAATAATATCACAGAAAAAGACGTAGATAAACTTCAAATGGAATACCGAGATATGAATTATGTTATTTTTGTAAAACATCCTTATTATATAAAATCACACGATGAAGAAAACTTTTGTCCAGTACCTTACAGTCACGTAGTAGATTATGCTGAAATTTCTTATGAAGGTATAGAATTAATAGATAGAAGTTTGATGATTGTGGTTTATAACTGTGTGGCAGAAAAAAAATATAAATTGGCTTATATGATTTTTTTGAACGCTATTGAAAGTATGGCCTTTACATATATGTATCGGTTCTGCGAATTTGCTATAGAAATGAATAAAAGATGTGCTGAAATATCATTTTACTTAAAAGTATTTAGTGATAAACTTACTGAACTTATACCGATAATTAATAGAGAATGGATTTCTCCTGAACCGTATGAATGTATTTTAGATGTTTACGAAAATCACAAATCTGAGAAATACAAATTTAATGAAGAAAACGAAAATTATAGAAATGATTTATTAGGCTGTATGAATTTAATGAAAGATAAAGTAAACTTTTTAAGAGAAGCTAAAAATGAAACAATAAATGAAATGACTATAAGCAAATTAGATCGCTACCATAATATGAATTATCAAGTAATAAATTATCGATTGACTTTAAAAAAATATTCTCCTGCTTTGAAACATATAACTGGAGATAAAAGTAAAAAGAAAGTTTTTTTTACAACATTTTATTACACATTATTTTTTATGAAAAAAAAAATTATTTTTATAATATATGAAATATTTTTAAGTAAAATTTGTCAATCAATTTCAAGATTATGGAATTAATGGGAAATTTATTAAATATTGAATTAAAAAAACTTAAATTATTTTACATATATATATATTGGATAGATAACTATACATGTTTAAGTAACAATTCTTCTGAGTGAAAATATATAACAATTGTGTCTTTTTTTTTCTGTAGACCAAACTTCATGTATTATATGTAAGACAGAACACAGTGGTAATATTTGGGATATTTACTTTTTTTCACCGTGGGCCATGGCTGGTGCTGCGATTTGTGTGCTGGCAATATTAAAGCATGTCCTGTATGTAATAAATTGATAAGAAGTACTCAATATCTACTAATAAAACCATCTGTGTCAATAGTTAACAAAGGTATATAAAATATAATAACTTACTGAAACATTAATGAATTAAAATAATAGAAACGTTTCTTTTTATTGGCTTTTGTGTTTGGTAAATTAGCTTGAGTGATCTAAGAACCTTTTTTTTTTGTTTATCACATAGTTTTACTAAAATTAAAGTTCTATACTTTCAATGTTAATAATAAGTAAATTGTGGTTGGGAATAATCCCCTATAACTCCCTCTTGGCTACGCCACTAAAATTATCCATAAAAAGTTACATGATTCTCTAATTTAGAAACTTAACTGAAAAATTTACTTAGTAACCTGTTTAGGACACTTTTATGGAAATATTTTAAATATTACCAATAACATATTATTCGAAAATAATTTAAATGAAATTATATGACTATTTGAAATAGTAGTTATAACATTTCTGCAGGAACGATATATTATTGTTGTTATAGCTTTGTAAATTTAGCAAAAATAAATTTATATTCAAAAATATATAAATATATAACATTTTTTGTTTTTTCAATAGCTAAAGAGATAGATTACGAACAAAAATTATTTGAATATTTTAGTCTTATTGAAATTAAGATACTACGCAAGTTGAAATTTTTAATAAAATTGATAAAGAGAAAGCTGTTTTTTCCGTTTATTGTTTATGAAATATGTCAGTCTCGATAATATGACAAATCTAATAACTTTTTTACAAAATAGTTATTTTGTTAAACAATTTATTATTTTAACAAATATTGCCTTCTTGTTTTCATGTTCAAAACATATATGAAACTATTTATTCCTAAAATTATCATGTAACTATCAACATTTTTTGTAAGAAAAGAGTTCAAAAATAGTCTATTTATTGTGGCCGGATATCAAAATATACATTTAGTTATCAAACCTTAAGGAGTCATGAGGTTCATTAATTCCCCTTCTGTATAAATTTCCATTCTAATATAATTTTATATTACTTATATCCTTGACTAGTGAAATAGCTACTCACTACTGTAAACTATTCTACTAGGAAAGGAACTAATTTTAAAATTTTGCATTTAGTGTATGAGCGATTACCGCCAAGATGTATCTTAGATGGACGAGGAGCGCGTTGTGTAAGGTGCTGCAGTCATATTATAGATGAAGATGATCATTCAAACAGACACATAATGATACCATGTGGTCATGGTTGGTATTGTGAAAATTGCATTTGGGAAGATAAGTGTTCAATATGTTCCAAGAAAACAAAAAAAAAATTATGTGTAATATTGAAAAAACAATGAATAAATCTATTAATGTTATTTCTTTAATTAATATTACTTTGATTCATTAAAAACTCTTTTTGTTCTTTAAATATACAAGTCCCTTATTTGAAAAAATTACATTTTTACATAATGCTAATCAATATTAATCATTATGAAAACATGTTTAAGTTACTAGGACATTCATTGCTACTATATGCTTGTTATTAGATATTACACTAGCAATGAATTATATTGCGGTATATAATTCAACTATATATGTCGGTCGCACTTTTCCTCTCGTTGATAGGCTAAAAAAAGTTTTCATAAAAAGTTTCTGTATATTCCGTTTTCTTTTTTAAATTTGTATTTGTTATTTTTTTTTTCGTATTTTTTGTAAACATCTAAAATACATTCATATGGTTCAGGAGAAATCCATTCTCTATTAATTATCGGTATAAGTTCAGTAAGTTTATCACTAAATAATTTTAAGTAAAATGATATTTCAGCACCTCTTTTATTCATTGCTCTTGCAAATTCGCAGAACCGATACATATATGTATAGGCCATACTTTCAATAGCGTTCATNCTCTTGCAAATTCGCAGAACCGATACATATATGTAAAGGCCATACTTTCAATAGCGTTCAAAAAAATCGTATAAGCCAATTTATATTTTTTTTTGTACGTACATCTTTTAACCACAGCCTCCAATGTTATATTTATTATTTCTATACCTTCATAAGGAACTTCAGTATAATCTACTGGGTGACTGTAAGGTACTGGACAAAAGTTTTCCCCATCATGTGATTTTATATAATAAGGATGTTCTACAAGAATGACATGATTCATATCGCGATATTCCATTTGAAGTTTATCTAAGTCTTTTTCTGTGATATTATTTAGATCAACACAAATCGATTGGTAGATTGTTTGAATAAAAAAAATTACTAATTTCCATTTATTAAGTAACATAATATTATTTTAATGGACTATTTAACAGTTTTTTAATTTCACAAATTTGTATCAATTGAAATAAAAGAGTTTTGAAATAAAATATATACTGACTAAAAAATATAGAAAAAATACAAATTTTTATTATGTACTTTAATCATATATGAACAATTGTAATTTAAAATATAAGTTATTAATTATTTATATTTGTAAAAATACCATTTTTCTTTAAGGAAATGATTAATAGAAAAAAGTCAATGATCATTATATTTAAAATAAAATACTATTTAATTATAAATCTATTTTGAACAGTTTATTTTGACTTAACTGTTTTAAATTGTTTCCAATGTAATTTAAATTTTTTAAATATTTTACAAGATGAAGAATTTTAATGAAAATTTGTAAAATCATAAAAATAATAACTTTTGGCTTCGATGCGAAGCTGAGAAGGTATTAATTTTACATGATGTGTTCTATTTTTTTTGTATCTAGTTCAAGACATTACCCTTAAAAATTGAAAAAATCTTCCCCGTAAATGGGGGAAGTTTCCAATAAAATTAATATTTTTAAAATCGGTAAATTTCATAATTTTTTCCACTTTTTTTACTAAAAACTACCATACATTTTTCAAAAATTAACAAATCAACATAATTTTTTTTACATTGAAACCTTAGATATTGCGCTTTTATTTGATATTTGATTTTTTGAAAATCTAATAATTAACCTACTCACTGGGATTTAAAATAACAACTTTTTTACAAAAACTATCTTTTTCAACCCATGTTTTGAAAATGTTCTGAAAATACTACGTCCTTTAAACATATAACAAATTAAAGCTTATGTCATAAACTATAAAATGAATAAAACATTTGTGCCGTCGACTTATCTTTTATGTGCAATTGGCCTCAAAAATTCAACAAAAAATGTAATATATGCGGAAAATATGTTTTTTGTACTTAAAACTATCATAACTTTTGAAAAACGAACTAATTGTAATTTTTTTTTTTTACATTAAAATTTTAAATATTTTTCTTTCATTTAATATAATGTTTTTGAAAATTTTACTTTAAACTTTGTCACATTGGATATTCAAAATAAATAATTTAATGTTTTTACCTTTTTTTAAATTTAAAAAAGTAACTTTATAATTTGAATCAACTTAAATTGTTATATTTATCAACCGACAAAAGCGATAAACAGTTACTGAATCGATAAAAATTGTGTATTTCATGCTGAGGGTACAAGGTTTGTATTCGCCTATAACAATTAATTTTTTGCATTTTTTCCTGAATGCTTATTGAGTTAGAAAAAAAATTCAAATAATTTGATTTTTATTTGATTTAAATTTAATAACTTCAATGAATATCAAGGATTCCATCACTGTAGTCTCCCCTCGCGAGAATAAATTTATTATTTTTGTTAATATTATTTTACTATGTGGTTTATTTTCCCAAACCTTTTAACATATTGCTTAATAAATCATAAATTTAAAAGAAATGTGATTGTTAGTTTCTCCTGAATTAACAATGGATTTTTAAAATTACAATCAAATTTTATAATACACTCAATTGAGTAAATGTTTTTTAGCTTCGATGCGAAGCGGAGAAGGTATTAATTTTACTATGATGTGTTTTTTTTTTTTTTTTTTTT